AAGCTGTTTTTTTTTTGTTAACGTAGTCTTAAAATTGTTTGAGAATCAAAGCAGCATATATTAGCATACTCAATACCTGCATTATATTTTTTTAACGAAATGTTAAAGACAAGACTAACTTTAATTTCATAATACACTACTATTATAAAGAAGAAAGATTTGTTTGTTTGTTTGTTTGTTTGAATTGAATAGGCTCCGAAACTACTGGACCGATTTGAAAAATTTTTTCACCATTAGAATCCTACATTATCCCTGATGAACATAGGCCATGTAATATTTTCAAAAAAGTTAGGGATCCGTATGAAAACTTCGTTAATGTAACCCAAGGTGTGAAAAAAATACCAAAAAGAATCCTTATATCGCGTACGCTTCGGAAACTATTGATAATAGAGCAAAGTAATGTACTTCACTTTTATAGAGGATATTAATCTCTACAAAAAAGTCTGTGATACCATATGTTTAACTATTACAGTTATGTCACAATAACTACTTTTTCATGTTAAAATGTGAAATAGTAACGCCGGTACAAATACTACTAATACGAGTACGTACTGATACGAATAATGTGGCCTAGACATTATTCGTATCAGTACCTGTATCATGCATAACCACCAATTACGTTAACTATGTAATTTTAGTAACTTATTTCACTTTTTAAATCTTTGTTAATTCAGCAACCGTCCGTCGTGATGTCTCTCTCGAAGTTCGCATGTCGCAAGGCTCAGATGCGTGATATACGCGGGTGAAACCGCGGGGCACAGCTAGTTTCATAATAAATTGGTTATGTAAGTGATAAACTTTAGCTTTGGGTACTCACAAATGTTTAGTTTGAAACTAAGGAACACCAGAAGGAAACTACAGCCAATTAAAACTAGTTAAGTATACAGCGAAGAGGCAGTTGAGGCAACCGTACTGTTGAGTGTATTTGCAACTGAAACTTTTCAATTAGACAAGTTGTCTTTGCGAGGCAGCGTCACTTCTGAATTCGAATTAGATGTAGGAGATGTTAATTCATAATAAACATAATACATACTACAAAGAATAGAAAGTAGTCCCTTTTGGATAGATTTTTGAATTTGTTATCAAATTATATATATATATATATCGTGTATATATATACATATATATAAGTATTTTAAGCTTCACTCTAGTGGTTAACGGGAATTGCGTTAATATTATTGTATAAAAAAAAACACTTCTTAATATTATATGCAGAAATTACTTATAAGAAAATATTGCATGATACGTGTAGAGATACGCGTAAGGTTGAACTCTTCCCCTGTACATCATATGTAATATTTCCTAAAGCTATCTTATAATTTTAATCGAAACTTTCCCATATGTGCATATTTACACATATTTTCGGGATTTCTTTCTCACATATTAAAAATAATATGTGATGTGGCAGGGGGAACACACATTTTACCACTTTGGAAGTGTCTCTCGCGCAAACTATTCAGTTTAGAAAAATATGACATAAGAAACCTCAATATCATTTTTGAAGACCTATCCATAGATACCCCACACGTGTAGTGTGATGAAAATGTTTTTTTGAGTTTCAGTTCTAAGTATGGGAAACCCCCAAAATTTATTGTATTTTTTTTTTCTATTTTTGTGTGAAAATCTTAATGCGGTTTATATAATACATCTACTTACCAAGTTTCAACCACATAGTTCTTATAGTTTCGGAAAAAGTGGCTGTGACTAATGGACGGACAGACAGACATGACGAATCCATAAGGGTTTCGTTTTTTGCCATTTAGCTACGGAACCCTAAAAATAGCTTTTCACATTTAATAGTAGCTTTTAACTACGTATTGTAATATGTGTGACAGTAGATACCAGATATAAAATGAGAAATAGTATTGATCCTTTGAATATATTTAAAAAAATACTATGCCTCTATAGCTTAGCTACAAAATAACCCACTCTTAGTTGTAGAGTCGAATACAGGCTCCAACGAATCTCCGCTCTAATTGCAGTTAATTCGGCTGCCATGACGTGTTCTACAGATTTCACGGTTGGGAATTACGTGAATTTTTACTAGTTTCTTTCTCGTAATTGACTTAAAACTGTAAAATTCGTATATATATTTAGTGTAGTGATTCAAAATATAACGATTAAATTATAAATATGCAAATTGGTCAATGTTATAAACCTTCGGAACCATTGAAATTTGTATTTGCGAAATTTTACTGTAAATTAATAGGGTATTACACCCATTTTCAAAAAGTGTTTTAAATGAATCCTAGAGTGATAATGAACCACTATAGATTTTATATAAATTTTTTAAAACCGAATAGTGACATAAAAATTACTTTTAATCTATCGTTTTAAATTTTCGCGTGAAAACGCTAGCCGCCATACTGTTCAACTCGTGACGTCACTGTCCTAGAATTTTGACAATTTTGCAAAGGAATAAGATACTTTTGAAGGTTTAATAATGAGTTATCATTTATATCATTGATGTGTTGAATACTTGGTTAAAACTGGCAAGAAGAGACCCGAAGGCGTTGTCTACAAAATCTAAACTATACTTCTGTGAAGATCACTTTGATGTAAGTATGACTTATATTTCATATATCATGACATGATAGGTACCTATTTCAAGTAAAATTTTGTAATAGATTAGGTTAATCGCTCGGCTTTCCCGCCCTTTGTGGGCCATTTTGATAGCCCTTGCAAGTGCAGTGCAGTGATTTACTTAATTCCTGTTTTCTTCTATTACATGGGAATATAGACATGGTTTGTACTCAGACTAAATAAAAAAGTGACTTTTTATTTCGTCTGACGGTTTGTACAAAAAAATATAACAAAAAGTTTTTCTCACCTACGCTTATATTATAATATCTATAACATTACTGCTAAAAGCGAAGAAATAAACTCGCTTTTACGAATCCGTTTTCCATGATGCCTTTTCAATAAAATTCGGAATAAAAGTCAACAATCGTAGTGATAACTTGAAAATTTTTGAAATTAGCTAGCTAGTACACAGCACATAACCTAGTTCTTTGACCTAGTGAGGTCACGACGCTATCTAATATGGTGGACATCGTTTTGCAGATTTGAGGCACAGGTAAAAAAAAATCTTTAAATGAAATATAAAATTTATAATGCATTTTTATTAATAGAAATCAATGTTTCTCGTTTACTTTTTACAAAATCTATCATAAATATATATTCTTTGATTTTTTTTACATGGTGTAAAATACCCTATTGTATGTATATTATTTACTAAGTGTTTCCAAGAAAGACAAAATATTGATGACGGTCGTCAGCCTCAACAGTGGGTAGCCATCTGCGCAGAACAGGATAATAGTGTCCGAGAATATTAATAAATACAGATGCACTCTTTATTCCCTCACTGTCATAGTCTGTTTGGACGGTAATCCAATACGGCCGGAGAGAGATCAGACGTAGGACTAAAACGACTTTACGTGCTTTCCGAGGCAAGGAGGGGTGAAACACTCTGACTGACTGACTCTGGACTGCCACAGATCATTTATTGACAGAAAAACCCAATAATAGGTTTTAGCCAGACCCGGTACTCGAACCCGGGACCTGATGATCAGCAGTCGAGTTAACGACCACTAGATCAACGACACAGTAAAAAAAATAAAAGTTATCCATTAAATAAATTATAACCTAACTGGATATAAAAGTGATATAATTAAACTATTTTATTCATTCAGGTACAATTTTTAATAGGAATTGTTTGTTGTTGAAAATAAGTTGAAAATAAACAGAATATTTTTAATATGACTTAAGTCTAATGTGCAAATATTCTAATACATCTAAAGTTACTTATTATTCTGGTTCTCAAATAAGTACAAAGGAATAAAAATATATCGAGGAATTATCATTCCGTTTCTAAGGATTCCTTTTCCTGCTTAAGTTAAGCGAGGGACTAGACGAAGCCCTTTACTTGACGTTCCACTTAATCCTCTTGATACCGTTGTAAGTCACTTAAAGGATTTCTTTGCCTTTTTCACTCAATTCTTAAGTAACAGTAGCCTAATGTTTAATGGTAAGGACCGCAAATTTAAAAACTACGTCAGCTCAAATCCGGCATTCGATCCACATGAACCACTAGCATTTAACACTAGCATTTAATGTTTACAGTATAGTTAACGGGAATATTGGTAATGATAAAATTATTATAAATATTTTTAATTTATTTATTAACATTTTGTTTATCATAAACAATTAATAAAAGTTTAGGGTTTAAATTACAATGCACATTATTAAAAAATGATGTATATATTTAGTACCTTGAAGATACTGTGGTTTTCTACGACACCACGGTCTCAATTTTTAATTATCGGAGTAGTCAAAGATTTCCGGGAGTTTTTAATAATAATATCAGATACTAGAATTTTAAAAGGGTATATCGTGGAAACAACTCTAAAAGGTCAGTAAATCCTTCATGGGGGATTGTATACGCTTTTACAACAAAGTTCCAGAAAATATACACGCAGACCTTTTCTATCAAAAGGTTTAAATTATTTATTTAGCAAAAATTGTCTAGTAAGGGTTGTTTTCTCATCAGTCTTAAAGAGTACATGACTATTATAACTCCTGGGGATGAGGTGATCACTACCATGATGTTTCTAAATGTTTTCAAAATAATTGTATACGAGTAGAATATTATATTGTAAATTGTACTTTTAAAAAAAAGTCCCGCTGGGTTTCTTGCTGGTTCTTCCCAGGACAGAGGTTTTTTTTTTTTTTTGCGAACCAGTGGTAAAAGTAAAAAATGACTTTATTAATCTATATTGAATAAAAATGATTTTATTCTATTCTATCCAACTATTTATTGAATATAATTAATTCGTAATAGCAAGTTTAAGATTATAAAATAAGCAAATTAAAACAGTTATTAAAATAATCAGGAATACATTTCTATATTTATAGCGTAAAAAGATTAAAAGGTTATAAGTAATAATAACGTAAACAAATATCGCTATTATCATGCAAAATCCTCAAATTCATTAATTATATTAGAATCTCTTTTGAAACTGAAGAAACCCATTCGGTTGCCAGTTTCCTTTCGTAAAAGGGGAGTCAAATTTCGAAGCTCCAACGTTGACTGACAAAGATGATGCCGGTGTTTCGTGTAGTTTCAACCCCGTAGAGATAGCATAATCCGTCCTTTGAGCTAATGGCGTATGGGCAACGGAAGCTGCAGCCTGAGCCACATCTCTGAAAAAGTGCATTAAATTCAACATATCTTTTTCAATTTTAAGCAAATTATACTTTATATAAACTAAAAGGCTAAAAAGTTAAATTATAACTTAGCTCTTAGCTCGTTCGTCGTAGTAAGGGTGAAAAACGAGCACACAGATCACCTGATAGTAAGTGGATGTTGTGACCCTTAGACACCTACATTTATTATCGATAAAGAATAAAAATGCAGATGCGTTGTCACCTCAAAGGACTAAAATGAAATGTCTTGTTTACAGTAAAAAGGCTGTGCGGTTCTTCACACTCACCATATGAAACACAGTAGCAAGCTGCTATTTTACGCTGGTATTATATAGCGTGGTCCTACCCCGTTCGAGCCAAACCATTCAGCTCGTGGTATAATACCAAGAAAGCTGCATGAATGAGTAAAAATATCAGCACTCTTGACGTCAGTGGCAAAGACCAACCGCAGATACAAGTACTTACGGCATTTGGAAACTCATGGTGTCAAAGACAACATGTAATCCTATCCTACTTCCCAGCTAGTTGCATAAGCGTTACGTCGGCTTTCCACAGGTTGGAACGTACATCACTTGGATATACACTAGTATCATATTAGATATATCCAATGAAAAAAATCGAAATTGATTTATCATATTTAATTTAATTTCATAGTGCGTGTTGCCAGTGACGACTTATGGATCTGAGACGTGGTTCTTCACTGCTGACCGTATGAGGAAGCTCAAGATCGCTCAGCTAGCTATGGAGACGCTATGCTTAAAATTTCTCTTCGTGATACACTTGGAAATGAGGATATCCGCAGTAAAACTAGAGTAATCGACATAGCCCAACGGATTAGTAGGCTGAAGTGGCAATGGGCCGGCCAAATAGTTCAAAGAACCGACAACCGATGGGGAAAAAAGGTTCTCGAGTAGCAGCCTCGTACCGATAGGCGAAGTGTAGGGCGACCCCCCACTAGATGGAGTGACGACCTGCTGAGACATGCAGGAAGTCGATGGATGCAGGTGGCTCAGAAGCGTGCTTTGTGGCATTACTTGGGGGAGGCCTATGTTCAGCAGTGGACTTGTGAAGGGCTGTAATAATGATGATGATGATGATGATTTAATTTTCCGTGAAATCAGTAGCAGCCCAAAGTCAGCAAGTTGACGGTGTTTCGTCTTTGTGCTCCGAATAGACATAAAGCCGTATATTTTCTCCGGTCGTATCGGTTTGGCGTACCGTCGGATTATAAGAGGGAGGAAATAAAGAATGCACCTGTGTTTTCGCACAATCACGTGTACTATAATCCTGCACCAAACAGGTGATTAGTCTTCGTTGTGACTAGCCGATGAGACCGAATCCCGATCTAGAGGGCATTATTATTATTAATTATTTTAATCGCATACAAAACTAGGTTTTAGGAATTCTTTTCCGAACTAAGATTCCGTTTACCCTTTTATAATTATATACAGAACACTCTTATGTATTCCCGCCAAAAGTCATCAAAGTGTTGTGTTCCAGTCGGAAGGGATAGCCAGTATAATTATATACTGTCCAATATATATCTATATAATCTTATTTCTCAGAGAAGCCTTCTTTGTTTGATATTGATTGTAAGTGTACATGGCCCGCAGTAGCCACTCTAAGTACGTTTTTTACTTCAGTTTTACAATACCTACATATTTTTATGTCCACCTACACATCGAAAAAACAGCATCATTGGCTTTTCTTAATTTACTTAATCCTATTTAAAAGTAGCAGTCTTACTTGTATTGGTAGTTAACGCCAGCTCCATGCGTAGAAAAATTCGGTATAGGTGCGCTTGTGAAGTTTTTCGTAGTAAAAGCGTTAACGTCAACTTTGTGGTTATCTGTTTTTAGTACATTTAGATTGGTTGCTGCGGTGACTTGGTTTCCGAAATTTGGGATGTGCCTCGCTGTCACACTGGCGCTGTGTCCGGTTCTATTAAATTCAAACATTTTGTTTAAAACCTGTGGTATATGTTTGATTTAAAATTTAATATACTATTATATTGAAAATATTATTAAAATTTATTTTGATTCGCCGTGTAGTGACGGAGTAAGAGAATCCACTACTATATATCTTCCCGTGAGTGTCGTAAAGGACAACAGAGGGAATTGGAATAGGAGATAGACATCACCTCTTCCCTATGCTTTGTAATGTATCTAGGATCTTTCTAATGAGAACTCAAAATAACAAAAAAATTGGAAACAAAATTTTTGAAAGTTAGATCTGGAACCAAATTTTTCAAGTTAGCTTCGCCATCTTTATATGTTAGCTGTAATAAAATGTCCTGGTATATGGCCGAAGTGATACTCATTGTGTGCCACATAGGAAAATGAATTTTTCCTTTGAATTCGTATTCAAATTATAATTTCTCACTACATAAAGTCCCACAACATTTCTTAATCACTAGATAACAATATGCAACTATTTTAACGAAAATAACTTTTAAACGCGCCCGAAAATTGCAAACGAACGCATATTTTGTTACGAGGGTGGATTGAAAAGTACTCGGCCTAACCAAGAAAATAAACACATACTAAATCAGTTATATTTTTATTTTTCTACATAATCACCATCAAGTTCAATACACTTTTGCCACCTCCCCTTCCAAGCATTTAGACCGTTGAAAAAAAATGATTCTTCCTTAGAGTCAAAATATGCGTCTACAGCTGCTTTGACCTCGTCGTTTGTCGAAAATCTTTGACCTCCCAAGTGCTTTTTTAGGTTAGGGAACAGAAAGAAGTCTGATGGTGCCAGATCAGGTGAATACGGCGGATGCGGTAACAGTTCAAAGCCACAGTTGTGAATTTCAGCCATTGACTGTACTGACGTGTGAACACGGGCGTTATCTTGATGAAACAGGACTTTTCTTCTGAGCATTCCTCGACGGTTTTCTTTTATTTCCTCTCGTAAACGACGTAGTAAGGTGCAGTAGTAATCAGTGTTTATATTCTGACCCCTTTCAAGATAATCAATCATAATCACATCTTTCGAGTCCCAGAATACTGAAGCCATCACCTTATTTGCCGACAAAATCGACTTAGCCTTTTTAGGGGGTAGTGAACCAGGTCTTCTCCACTGTTTTGATTGTTGTTTTGTTTCCGGTGTATAGTAATGAACTCATGTTTCGTCCATAGTAACAAAACGATTCAAAAATCATCTGCATCGGCTTCAAATAACTCCAAACAGTCGCGTGAAATAGTCAATCGCGTCCTTTTTTGTTCAACTGAAAGACCTTGTGGAAACCCAACTCGTTGACAATGATGTTTTGAGTTCGTTCATAAGAGATGCCTATAAACTCGGCTATCTCTCTAATTTTTAATCTGCGATCTCCCATTATTAAATCAAGTACTTTTTTAATATTTTCGTCAGTAGTTGACGTCGAAGGCCTTCCAGAGCGGGGTTCATCTTTCCCACTCTCTCTACCACGCTTAAATTCTGCTATCCATTTTTTGACGGATGAATATGACAGAGCACAATCGCCTAATGTACTGACCATGTCATCATGGATGGCTTTTGATGATAGCCCCTTCTTATGGAGGTACTTAATGACGGCACGCTGCTCGATTTACTCCATTCGCGGAAATTATGTCCGATTACTTTGTTAATAAATTTATAAAATCACAACTAATTATCGCACACGTTTCGAACTTCACACAATGAACTAGTCTGAACTGAACTAAATAATGTGGATAGATTTGATTATTAGAATTGAATGGATCTGTGTTAGGCCGAGTACTTTTCAATCCACCCTCGTAGTTTTACGAGTACATATAGAGCAGCACGGCGAAACGCTGTATAACGGCGGCATACGAGAACCCACTACCCCATATGACCCCGTGTGTGCTTAGAGTCAACAGAGGTAAAATTAAAAAAGATATGGGCAGCAGCATCTTCATGCTTGTAAACTATGTCAATATCTGAGGCATTCTATGGGGGAGGCTTATATCGAAAAGCAGTGGACTTTTGATAGGCTGTAATTTTAATGAAACATATGACAATAACTCTCTTTTCACACCAATCTCTAAATATAGAGGAAAGTTTAAAAAATATTTTAAAAACCACTGTAGGCTTCTTCTCCTCCTTGGAAACAATTTTTTCGGTTCTGAAATTCATAATCATGCAATTTTTTTTTTGTTAAACTTGCACTTGAAACAAAATGGCTAAAGAAACCTCGCAATGGTTCTTTATTAATTGCCAATAGTACAATGTACTTTATCAAAAATGAAAAGGAAAACCTCCATGTGTAATTTTTTTATAAATACAAGATGGAGCCAACGAGCATGCGGCTCACCTAATGCTGCCCGTGAACAATTGCAACACAGTCTTTTAAAAACGACTTAGCTCTTTTCTTGATGGTTCCCTAGTCGTATCGGTCCGGAAAAATTGCTGGTGGTAGGAAGTTTTCTTTTGAAAACTTCTTGTAAGTCGTACAGAGGTGGACCGCTAATCATCCAGATGATATGTACGGTTTACAAGAGTATTTTAAAAGCAAGCAAACCAGCCCCCACAAGCAACACCAGTTCACAAGTATGATTCACGTGTTATTTTATCAGAACGTTAAATTAAAATTTAAGCATTCAAATTTTATGTCTTCAATTACCAAAAATATTCGCATAAACAAAAAAAAACATTTTTAGCACATCTATGCTGCGTTAGTATTTAAAGCAACAGAGGTCACGTAAATTAATAGTGACAATTCATTTGGGTACATTCAAAGAAACTAATATATTCTTTTTTAATGTAGATATATAATACGATAATACCGAGGTTAGTTAACAAATTCAGCTGATTTTAATTTAGATAGAGTGTAGTTCTATAGTAGTCCTGTATAAATTTAAACTAGATCCGAAAATAATTAAAGCCCGTTTACATTTATTTTAAACAATCAGTTATATATAAAAATACCTAACCGTTACGGTTAGAGCCTATTAAATTACAATACTGAACATAAGCCTCCCCCATAGATTGGCTCATTGGGGGAAATTTGCAGTAGTTGCGACGCTTGGCCAGCGAGTTGGCAACAGTAGTTTTTTAATTGATGTTTCCCTCTGTCGCCTCTTGTGACACCCATAGGATGATATGGGGTTGTGAATATTCTAACACATGATAAAAAATACCTAGCACGACTATAAAAATATACTTACTCGTTAATAACTCCCACGCTACCAGTAATGGAATTGTAAGTTGGTCCAGTCGGTTTTGGAAAATAATTATTTTCTTTATAACCATCTATTGATGCAGAACCAAATAATGTCACATTATCGTTTCCTTTGGAAGCAATTATGCTCACGTCCTTGCTTTTATCAAGATGCTCAGTTCCGTTGAATTCAATCGGCATGATAAGTTTTTAAATACAACAATTTACTGAATAAGAATCGCTGATTTAGGCAGACACTACTTAAATGAATAGCTGCACTCAGGTCTGATATATTTATATACTGGGGCCAACCGACCAGGGATTCACCGCGCTATCTGTGGCAGAACGAATTTTTACTAAAGCTAAATATACACTGAATACGTTCTACAGTGAGATAAGCTAGCTGTATTTCTGTATACACAACAAACATTATTTAAATTTATAACCGAGATTAGGTTAATAATATAATTTTATTTTTAAGCAAATGAATCATTAAAATGTAACATTAAGGTGATTGTTTTTCTTTGGTCTTATTGTAAAAAAGCTTAAAGTTCTAATTACTTCCTAATTTCATATTTTAAACTATTGTATAATACACAAATTTGCTTCGACTTGTTTCCAATCAACTTAAGAAACCTCATTTTAACTTAGTTGTTTATGGTTCATAAACAACGTGAATCTACACGATCGTAACAATTTCATTTTAGAGCTAGTGGTGTCGCTCATGAACCAAAGAGCCCCGTAGAGCAAGAGATATTTCATTAACGGGACGTAATTTATAAAACAGTCACAATAAGCTCATTTTGATTTTATTTCTAAAAATATATGTATTAATAAGCCCTAAAAAACAGGACCCTATTACTAAGCCTCCACTGTGCGTCCGTCCGTCCGTCCGTCTGTCTGTCTTTCAGCGGGTTGTATCTCATAATCCGTAAAAGGCAGACAGTTGTAATTTTCACAGAATGCGTATTTCTGTTTCAGCTATATCAACAAATAATAAAATAAATAAAAAAAATTATAAGAGGCATTTTGTATAACGATGGTACGGAACCCTACATGCGCGAGTCCGACTCGCACTTGGCCGGTTATTTAAATAGGAACCACTCGCAGTGTTTGAACGATATTTTTTGTCATTTAAGTTTATTATCTATCTATTTTATTCTGCTAAGCATTTTCTAATTACTCTGTACACTGGTCAATACATACTCTTTACTTACTCTATGTCATATACTACAATAGTCCTCAAAGTTCGACGACACTTAAGCGATTCCTGTGGTGTTGCAATTAGGAATTATGAGCGGCAGCAGTCACTTACCTAAAACTACTCTTCTAAAAAAACTGTTCATGAAGTATTAACTTAACAGTTGTGTGTTCTTGCATAAAGTTTGGCGATAATGTAAATTAGCATTTTTACGGGTTAGAGTCTGCCTTATTGCTAATAGAATGATTAATAATAACCGCAAGGCCTATTATCCTCTGCAACAAATGATAATATTCTTCTTTAGTCGATCTTGACCACAGTGACCACTTCCAAATGAATGAGACCCTTTTAAACGCGCATGATTTAGTTCCATAGGTATGCGCAATCATGGCAGCATTCACACGTCCAATCCTCATAACTTATTATAACGCCTTAACAATAAAATTGGACGTAGGCAGAAGGTATTAAGGAAACAAGGATAATTACAACACAACGGAACCCGAACACAAACAATGCCTGTTTTGCAGGAATGTTTCCTTCGGCTCTGCTTCGAACCCGTAATTTAATAGATAGGTGATCAGTGTTTCTTAAACTCAACGTTATAAAAAAATGCAGACATGAATAGACGACATGACAAAACTGTTATAATTTATAGAAATTTGTTCGAAAATTCTTTTAAATCTAGACATAAAATTTGACAGATTAGTTTTTAATTCTATTATTATATTATAATATAATATAATATAATAATATGATATAATAATAAATATATTATTATATTTTTAAAATTTACAAATATTATTATCGTTATTATTCATTTCCTTTACACCGACGACATATTTAGTGTGATTGTGTCGTAAAGCGCATGCATGAGTCATATACATCATACAGTTAAATTTCCGGGGACTTACACAGCGTCAAGTTGTAAATACAACACATACTTACATACATATATCGTATTGTCTTCAAGGGACTGTACCAATTTATATTTGAACGTTATGCTTTTTAATGTTATTTTCAAAAGTAAGAATGACAAACGAGCACATAGCCCAACTCCTGTAAATGGATGTTGAGACTGGTTTATCTATTCTCGATTAAGAATCAAATTGCAGATGCGATATAACTGTTGTGGGCTAATAAGGAATAACTTGTGGGCACTATAAAGGATATTCCTTCACTTTCACTCATAAATAAGTTTACAGCTGAACCAAGGGCTCTCCCAAAAATTGCGTCATTGGGGGGATTTTGCCACCATTTCCACGCCGCGGTCAGAAAGATGATGGTGTCCATCTCCTCTTTCAGTTTGTCTCTGTCGTCTCTTACAACCGCCACGGGACGATATTAGAATATAGATATTCCATTACTGTGTACAGTAAAACAAATAGCTTTTGCTGTCGTACGGATGGGCCGGCTCGAACCGGGGTGGTACCACGACCTCACAGAAAACCAGCGTGAAGTAGAGGTTTACCTCTGCGTTTCGCTTGGTGAGTGCAGGTGTCCGGAGGCCCTTTTTACTGGAAATGAGGCATTCCATCTTAGTCCTCACGGGTGACAACGCATCTACATTTTGATTTAAAACAGAGGATAGATGTCTATGGGCCGCATCAACCACTTACAATCAGGTGGACTGTGTGCTCGTTTGTCACCCTTATCCTATAAAAAAAATATCTATTACTGTGAAAACAAAAGCGGCAGATTACGCTGAAAATAAAAAAATAATAATACCGAACTATACAAATAAAAACACAGAAGGATAATTAGAATACATTTTGCTGATATTTAACCCTGGTATTCTGTCTGGTCGGGTCTGGTGATTCACCAGTTGAGTCGATCCATTCGTGGTGCCGCCATAATGGCGGTGTAAAAAAATCTATCATTTTGGTTATAGTCTTCTCCCTTTCTCCTTCTTCCCAACGCTATTGCAGACGGATTAGTTTTTGCCGCTGGTCTGGGCATTTGACACTGGTATATAAATGGGACAAAAAAATCTGCTACTCAACTCTTACGTTACTTTTTGAGTGTTATGGGGTTATGGACTTCCTGAGTCTGAGGGGAAATATGGCAACTTATTTTAATAGAATAAGGGTGAGAAACAAGCACACAATCCACCTGATGGTAAGTGGATGCTGAGATTATATGCTGATAGACATCTACATTTATCCTCAATTAAGAATTAAAATACAGATGCGTTGTCAACCCGAGGAGTAAGATGGAATGCCTTGTTTCTCTACACTATAGCAAATATATTGGTATCGGTAGATATATTCTCCAAATGTCATTCACTTGAGATATTGTAGAAATATTTATATAATCTACATTTGACGGACGATTTCTACATTTTACTGGAAATGAGGCATTCCATCTTAGTCCTCACGGGTGACAACGCATCTGCATTTTGATTTGTAATAGAGAATAGATATAGATGTCTATGGGCCGCAGCAACCACTTACCATCGGGTGGACTGTGTGCTCGTTTGTCACCCTTATCCTATAAAAAAAATATACCAAGGACTGCCTTATTGGCCAAGCGGTTATAGAAGTTCAACTGCTTATCATGAGGTCCCGGATTCAGATCACGGGTCGGGCCAAAAAATCAGTTATTGAGTTTTTCCATCAAGAAATACTCAGTAGCTGCCCGGAGTCAGCAATTTGGTGGTGTCTCACCCCCGTGCCTCGGAAAGCAAGTACAGCCGTTGGCGCTGTGCCTGATCTCTCTCCGGTCGTGTCGGTTTACCGTCTGATCAGACTATGAGAGTGAGGGAATAGAGAGTGCACCTGTGCTTGCGCATACACTTGGGTACTATAATGCTGTCATGCACCGATGGCTAGTCTCTGTTGAAACTGGCCTCCGTGACCCAAAATTCGGTCTGGAGGATATTATGACAAGCACAAATTTCTATCTATAGTTAATTGCAGTATCATTGTGAGAGCCTCGGCATAAAATAAAAAGACAGAAGTAGTAGCAGAAGCAGGGTTGTCAGTTGCGATTTACGTGAAAAGTGTGTTGTGACACGTAGTATTGTTTATTGTTAGCTTTTGTTTAATTTTCTGTTTATATGTATGTATCTCCCATTGAAATGTGTAACAGAATTTTACTTTCCCGTTTTTTCCTGTTGTTAGAATTGTCATGCGTATCAGGTGGATTAGAAATGTCAGTATCAGGTATCTCCCAACTTTGACGCTACTACCCGTAGCCTGTCGATAATAATTTTAATGAGGGGACCTTTGTCCACTATATAATAATTTCCTTCTGACCAAGTATCGGTCACGGCAGGCAGTTCAACGGAGACAAGCCATCTGCACAGGACAGAATTATACAGCCCGAGTGTACGCGCGAATTTTTTTTTTTTATAGGAGAGGGGGCAAACGAGCATGCGGCTCACCTGATGGTAAGTGACTACCGCCGCCCATGAACAACCGCAACACCAGGGGAATTGCAGATGCGTTGCCGGCCTTTTAAAAAGGAGTAGGCTCTTTTCTTGAAGGTCCCTAAGTCGTATCGGTCCGGAAAAATCGCTGGTGGTAAACTATTCCACAAGGAAGTTGTGCGAGGAAGAAAACATCTTCTAAATCGCACAGTGGTGGACCGCCAATCATCCAGATGGTGTGGATGGTATCGGGAGTTCTGCCGCGATGTGCGTTCGTGAAATTTGGCGGCTGGGATTAATCCGAACAATACAATACAGGTCCCTCACTCTCGTAGTCCGATGGGACGGTAATCCGTTACGGCCGGAGAGAGATCACGCGTAGGAAGAATGGGGGGTGAAACACCTGACGTACTGACTCCGGGCTAAGACTGAGAATTTCTTGAAAGAAAAACCCAATAATTGATTTTAGTCAGACTTGGGATTTGAAACCGGAACCTTATGAATAGCAATCATGTTAAAGACCAATAAACCAACAAGGCAGTCACCTTAAAGAAATTAAAAAAAAAACGTTTAAATTCTGTTAAACAACGATCTTTTTTTAAAGAATAAGGGTGAAAAACGAGCACACAGTCC